GCATAATTTTTCATATCTGGCCGATGTCGATAGTTACATTTAAAGCCATTATCGGCCGATTCCGATATTGGTCCGATAATATCGTGCATCCCTAAAAAAATTTACTTAACGAGCATAAATGACAATATTTATTTTTGGATGAACTGTGCATATAAAGAAATATAATGCAAATAAAAGAGTTTAACCATACAATTCTTACTTGCATTATGTTTGTCTTTCTCTGTTTCTCCCATTAATTATTCAGACTGTGAAATCGGAAGACCCTCAGTCTATGCCAGTGATTGTCAGTGGAAGTACCCATTCATTGGGATCCATTTCATCCCTTTCTGATACGGCATCACTGCATCCTCACAATTCAGGAAAGGAGCTCCAGGCTGCCGATGCCGAACTCTCCAACATCCCACACAAAGATGACAGTGATTTGACCATGCACTGTGTAAATATTTGTTGGTTTTGCTTTGTATGCTAATACTAATGATTATTAGCATTCAAACCCTCGAGTGGTTTTTGCAACTGAAGTTTATAAAGAGACACTATTAAAACATCTCATATTGCTAGCATACTTGCAGGTTTTGAGACGAGGAAGAAGGATCTGGAAATTTAAATAATGATCTTCTGGAAAAGTAATGGCTAAATAAAACTCATTAAAATTATTGCGATGTTCCTTAATCTCACATCGCCAGCAAAATCATCAAACATGGTGGCTACATTATTTCTGTCAGTTTGACCGTCCCAAATCAAAGAGTGTCATATCAGCACTTATTTTGGTAGTTTGCTCACTTGTGTTTTAACAAGTTCAACTAATTTGTTTTCACCATTACAGGTTAAAGGATCAGATGCATCTGGACACTTCGAGGGAGAGGACGACGGGCCTGAGAGTGACATCTTTCAGGTGCAGATACACGATGAACATCAAGACGCCGAGAAGACCTCTGGTGCTGAGGAGGAAGACAGAGAAGCTGCTGTCATGTTAGACGACCACGAACCGCTGGACGCAGGTATAGAGGAGCCCAATATGGAGGGGCGAGCTAAAGGCAACGGCCTCAGAGGGGCAGGCCGCATGTGGAGACGACGGCACGGAGAGCACAGGGGAGGCAGAGGAAGAGGCTTAAAACACAGGAAGCAATACACTTTGAAGGATCGCAAGCTCTTGGGTAACTATCAGGAGGCTTGGCGGTTTCCGACCCCTGATGAGATAATGGGCAATTTTGGAGCAGACTTTGGGGCTGATTACCTGTCCAATCAGCATCTCGCAGACGGTACCGTCCGCATTGAGTACAGGCCTGGAGAAGAGATCGGCTCTGATGGAGGTCCTGCACACTTCGGTGTGGAAGCTTCCAGCAGGGAAGAGAGAATAGGAGTTGGGACACATACAAATGAACACGGAGCTGCTGATGAGTCCGTGGCAGTGGTGGGATCCACGTCCTGTGTAACGGGACCAGTGGTGTGTGAGCAGTGTGGACTAGCATTTTCCTCAACGCAGGACTTAGCCATGCATTCCCTGTCAACTCACCGACTGTACGTGTGTCCATGCTGCGGGAAGCACTTCAGCCACTCCAGTAACCTCAACCGCCACATGATCGTCCACCGTGGAGTTTCCAAGCTCCACTGTTGCCCCCTGTGCCACAAGACCTTCACTCAGAAGTCAACACTGTGCGACCACATGAACCTGCACAGTGGGGAGCGGCCGCATGTGTGCGCATACTGCCACGTCAGCTTTGCCCATAAGCCTGCTCTGCGCCGGCACCTGAAAGAGCAACATGGAAGGACAACGGCCCAAAACTATCTGGAAATGCAGCGAAACAATGAGGGTGGTGTTGGGGAAGGGGTTTAGATCAGATTTAAATAGTTACTGTGTTAATCAGAATTAACCCTATTTTCTTTCTTAATACACATTTCTAGGCTTATTGTGCACAATTTATAAGTGCACATTAGGTGAAAATGTATGTCTTTGTAATCAGTATGTAATAACTGTATTGTTGTCAATGTGCAGGCCGAACACTGCCAAAGCATTTGAGCCTGGAGAGACTGAATTAATTTATACTCACTCATAGCAACAGTTCACCCAATATTGAAAATTCTATTATTTACTCACCCTCATGTCATTTCAAACCTCTGACTTTTTTCTGAGAAACACAAAATAAGACATTTTGTCTGAATAGGTGATAAGCGCTTTTCCACCATCGGGCCGAACCATTCTTGTTGCTTAACCATTCCATTTCATGCTGATCTGGCCCAGCCGGTATGGATATGGCTTCATTTACCACTGTGGGGCTGACAACAGAGCTGGTAATACAAATGTGTCAGTCATTGTCTTGGTACTAAGATGAGATAGGTAGCGACCGTGTTATGGAGGATGAACAGATATTTCCTTTTACTTCACTCAAATAGTGTGCTTGGCCAGCTAGCTACAGAGAGAAACTAGCAGCCAGAATCAGACAACAAACAAGTGACCCATCCTGAGTGGCGACGTAACTACACTCATTCTACCAACACGGTTCAGCTCAAGTGGAAATCTAACTAACCATTCCTTACTGTTCTTAGAACCATTCAACCCGACAGTGGAAAAGCGGTTAATGATGTTGTATAAACCCAGGTGTGCCTCACACCTCCTGAAAAGTGAAGCTGCGGGCTCTTTGATCGCCCCCCTGGTGGCTGGCTGCAGTACAGGTCATAAACCCCGCCCTCTCCATGTAAACGAATGGTACTTGAGTCAATATAAAAAATAAATTACACTTCCAATACAATTTTCTGAAAGACGGTTTTGGTCATTTAAGGTAGTTAACACGCTGATATATGTTCAAATGTTCGTTTTTTGTGATAAGTTTGATTTTAGCTAGCAATTTGATGCTATAAAAACATGTCATTATGGTTGATTAGGTCTGCGGGACTTTAATACCGCGGCTCCACCTCACAACACTACTGCACAGACTCTGGGTGTTTCTCAAACGGAAGGCTGCATCCTCCGAAGGATGCATATCTTGGCTGCCATGTCATCAAATGTCGCTTAAAGGGATACTCCACTCCAAAATGAAAATTTTGTTATTAATCACTTACTCCCATGTCGTTCCAAACTCGTAAAAGCGTCATTCATCTTCGAAACACAATTTAAGATATTTTGGATGACAACCGGGAGGCTTGTGACTGTACGCTATTCTGTGTCAGCCGCGACACAAGGGTAAGTTTTCAACGTGTATTTACGCTTTGATTTGAACGAAAACAGCGCATCCAAATCAAAGCGTAAATACACGTAGAAAACATATCCTTGTGTCGCGGCTGACACAGAATAGCGTACGCTGCTTGCGTTCAGTGGATATTCTCCAAAATGGTGCTACGGTCAAAGCGGAGAGAGACCGAGGAGACGAATTGTTGAATAAAGTCATTATTTTTGTTTTCTTCGCGTACAAAAAGTATTCTCGTCGCTTCATAAAATTCCGATTGAACCACTGATGGCAGATGGACTATTCTGATGATGCTTTTCATTCTTTTCTGGACCTTGACAGTGTTATTTAACTTGGCAGTCAATGGGAAAGTCACAAGCCTCCCGGTTTTCATCCAAAATATCTTAAATTGTGTTCCGAAGACAAACGAAGCTTTGACGGGTTTGGAATGACATGGGGGTAAGTGATTAATGACTAAATTTACATTTTGGGGTGGAGTATCCCTTTAAGGCCATCTAAATCAGAATGATCCTTGGAAGGCAGCCTTCGTTTCGCGTCCTTCATTCAGCTGAATTTGAAGGATGCATGGTATCCTCCGCGACCTTCAATCACCCACAATCCTTTGTACCCATTCCATTTCATGAAAATAAACTGATGAAAAATGATTCAGAAATAATGTTTACGGACATGAAAACATAGATGTTATTTTTTGTTTTGCTGTAAATTACTCACTAAACGCTAAACTGCCAATAATGTAAGCCACCGGGAGACTGTAGACAGCTGTGATTTACTGTATTGCATAAATAGAAAGCCAAATAATATAATGATTTGTAATGCAATGTATTTTTCCAAAACTATTTTATTCAAAACTGTTTTATTTGTATTTTCGTGACGATGAGGGCGAGAACTTGTGTGACGTAGCCACGTGCACTTACTAGACTGTCTCATTCTAGCGTTTAATGCCGAGGAGGACTGAACTAGGAAGGATGCAGTCTTCCGTTTGAGAAACACCTTACCTGATTCCAATCAGTACTTGACTCTGAATGGTCAACCACAGCATTTAGAAGTCAGTTTCCTAATTCCTATGGAAATTTTGTAAATCAGAGTGCTCATCTCTGTAACTGAATAACGGTGTCTTAATAGCCAATCACATTACAGCCTTGACATAATTGAATTTCAGTCAGAATTGTGCGACACTCAATCGCCGTTTACGGATACCTTAATGAGAAATGCCGTAAACTGTATCTCACCTGTCGCAAAAAGTCAGTGACTTTTCCGCTAAGTTAAGAGACTTTACTGTCCTCACCTCGGCGCTTAAGACTCCAGGGTTACCTGATTCCAATCAGTACTTGACTCTGAATGGTCAACCACAGCATTTAGAAGTCAGTTTCCTAATTCCTATGGAAATTTTGTAAATCAGAGTGCTCATCTCTGTAACGGAATAACGGTGTCTTAATAGCCAATCACATTACAGCCTTGACATAATTGAATTTCAGTCAGAATTGTGCGACACTCAATCGCCGTTTACGGATACCTTAATGAGAAATGCCGTAAACTGTATCCCACCTGTCGCAAAAAGTCAGTGACTTTTCCGCTTACTTTTTTATGGAGTAACGCAATATTGTAATGCATTACTTTTAAAAGTAACTTTCCCGAACACTGCTGATAACACATGCAACTTTCACGCGCATCTGACGGACAGAACTGCGTACTTGTATTTCAGTGTTGCTGATGATGTTAGGGTTATTTGAGCAAATAGTTTGCTCTGTAAATTCTGTTCAACAGCATTAAGTTTAAGAGGGTAGTCTAAACTTTATTACTCGCCCATTCAAAATTTAACATTTCCCACGACCCCCCCTTCCACCGACCCCGGGGGTCCCGAAACCCAGGTGAAGAGCCGCTGGCTTATTGTTATCCAGACGGGGCTTTTATTCTGAAAATCATCTTTCGTATTCAATATTTCCTGGTAAGTTTTCTTCCTTTCATTCTGCGAATCTGAGCTGTAATTGTTTTGAAACACACGGAGCACAACAGAAAGCATATGTTAGGAAAGACCGAGATCCGACACATAAAGACCGCAGATTTCTGTCCACGAGATCCGCGCGAGTGTTGTAGTCTGGGCTTTCTCTCGTCCCGTGATGTGGATGAGCTGCATTGATCTCTAGACATCATACATCTGATATAAGTTCCTCTGTTCTAGGATTATTGATTTCTCCTCACTAAATCACTCCAGTAAGTTCATGTTGTTTATCAGTGAAGTGAAGTGTTAGTATTGTATTGAGGGCAGTGTGTTAAACAGTCTGTCTGAAACAAAAGATGCTACAGTGCCAGCTACTTTAGCTTAACACTGATACAAACAATAACACTTGAGCACACATAATTCATTCAATGGAGAATTGTGTTGCTGCTTTATTCTAAATATGAACATAAAGTCAGACGTTTACACACCTTTCAGAAGCTGCAATAGGTTAATAACAAAAATAATAAGAGGATCGTGAAAAATCATAAAAATTGTTTTTTTTAGTACTTCCCTGAGCAATGTGTTTCAATTAACAGACAGTGTTGGGGGTAAAACGTTACAAGTAACGCGAGTTACGTAATCAGATTACTTTTTTCAAGTAACTAGTAAAGTAACGCATTACTTTTTTAATTTACAAAAAAATTACTTTTTCAAATAAGTAACGCAAGTTACTTTTTTTTCTTCCAATGTATTGATTGTCAGCTCTCCTGTCCCCATGTTGAGAGAAATCAGATGTTACTGTAGTTCTAAAATAAATATGAATATGCATTAATTCATCTCACTCACAGATTCAGTATTCCTCAAAATGAATAAGAATAATGCAACTCAGAATATAACGCATACCTGCAATAATTAAATGTTAAACAACACAAATATGCTTTATGTATTTAATCCCATTCTATTAAACAATGTCTTTGCTTCTGACTTTCGATGATCCAGTTCAACCGTACTAATAAGCACAAATTACTCTAGACAAACATTTGTGTGTCTTTGTTTATTGCTGAAGTGTGTTGAATGTCTTCTTCTGCATTCTACTGTACGGACGTACATTTACTTTCCCTTCAGCCTGAGGCGCATTCATTTCACTTTTGGTGTGAAAAGGCTTTTATATTTGCCAACAATATAACTTTTTTATTTTAAAAACAAACAAGCAAGCCCTGTCCAGATTTAAAAAGTAACGTAACGCATTACTTTCCATAAAAAGTAACGAAGTAACGTAATTAGTTACTTTTTTATGGAGTAACGCAATATTGCGTTACTTTTAAAAGCAACTTTCCCCAACACTGTTAACAGATGTTATATATCCACAAGACAAAATAATTAATAACTCAATATATTTATAACCAAACAAATTTTACGCTTAATTCTTAATACTGTGTGTTGTTTCTGTTCCACAGCTGTTTTTATATTTTGTGATAGTTGTTCATGAGTCCCTTGTTTGTCCTGGGCTGTGTTTCTCAAAAGCATAGGAAGCTAAAGTTGAACGTAGAGACCATCGGTGGCTTACGATGCTTTTGGGAAACACAGCCCTAAGCAGTAAACAAACAGCCCACTGTTCTTCCATGTCTTGCATAGTGTTTGGTTTTCCAGCATCTTCTGCACATTCAAGCTCTTTCCAACAGTGACTGTATGGTTTTGAGATCCAAAGCTGCAAACATTGATGTCTTTGATGCTCAAGAAGGCAACACATTACAATAAGAGCTAGGGGTGTGTAAACCCCCTTCATTTAGCATGAAGTATCATTGTAATAGTAACTGTGATCATTTTGAAGTGTAGGTATTTGTTTTGTGGGCATTCAGATGAAATATTCCAAATAGTAAAAATAAGTTTTTTGTGTGTTTGTTTGTTTGTTTTTATTTTTTGTCTTTTTTCTTTCATTTTAGGTGTAGTAAAGCATGGATGTGGATGTGGTGAGTTTCCGTTTGCCTGGGCATGGAGACACGGCCCTGAGTAACATCAACTACCTGCGGACGCAGCAGCACTTCTGTGATGTGACCATCGTGGCGGGAGGCAGGCGCATGTTCAGGGGTCACAAGGTCGTGCTGGCTGCTTGCTCTGTGTTTCTCAGGGACCAGTTTCTCATGAACCCCTCATCAGAGCTACAGGTAAAGCCATTTGTTGCCAGGTTCTTGTGAAATATTCTGTGTGATTTTGTTCCGTCTTATTTTTTATGCATAAGGTGACAAATCTGGACAGCCTGAATAAATAATAATGATGTGTCTTTGCTGCACATCAATTTTTGTGGCATCAATTTCATATTTATCTATCTCTTAAAATCATGCAAAAATGTTTGTATACATTTTAATTGAATTATTACGTGACCGTATTGTCTCTTCTTTGTTTAATAGCTGCTTCATGTATTGATTTTTTGGAATAACTTAAATGTTTTTAGATATGGCTTGCTTTTTATTTAAACTAGAAAATGTTAAATAATTTTAAATACAATTTTAGTAATCGTTCTATTTCTATGAGAATATGGAAGTCCACACCACAGCTGTATTGATAACAACTCAGAAATGTATTGTTGCAATCACTTTCAGAGTGATTTTTTCTTCTAGCTGATGAACAATAAAAACATTGACAGCCAATTAAATTCCATCCAACTTTAAAGAGCTTGAGCATATAAAGTGGCAGACAACATAAGTGCAGCATGTAATCATAATGTACAGAATGTTGTTGTGTGTTGGTGTGGATGCACATATAGTTAACATTATAGTTATCGTTCTTGGTGCTCATGGACCTTTGGTGTTTGTTAATTGAATTTATGCAATTCTGTTTGGTGTTGCTTTAAAATCAGAGTGTACTTTTGTTAGCAGTAAATAATTTTTTACATTAATGGTGGTTGTTTTGATTCGGTCAACAAATGCTCTCTCTATCCAGCAGGTGTCGATGTTGTACAGCTCAGCGGTGGTGTGTGAACTCCTCCAGTCCTGTTACACGGGTATGCTGCAGTTCAGTGCCAAAGAGATTGTGAACTACCTGACTGCAGCCAGCTACCTGCAGATGGAGCATGTGGTGGAGAAATGCAGAGGAGCCCTGAGCCAGTACATGCAGCCGCAGAGTTGCAGCCCAGTTGTGAATGTCTCAACCTCAAACAAGGCTATTCAGACTGTGAAGTCAAAAGACTATCCGTCTATGCCGGTGATTGTCAGTGTAAGTACCCATTCATTGGGCTTTATTTGGATTCTTATACTGCATCACTGCATCCTCACAATTCAGGAAAGGAGCTCCAGGCTTCTGATGCCGAACTCTCCAACATCCCTCACAAAGATGACAGTTATTTGACTATACACCGTGTAAATATTTGTTAGATTTGCTTCAGATACTAATAATGCTCAAAGAGACAATGATAATAGATTATATCTAACATCTTAACGTCTTAATCTGGGAGGAACATAGAGAGTTCACAATGGCAGTCCTATCACTGGAGTTCACCAAATGTATATATTGATGGTTGTATTAGTCATACTCGCTGATGATTACACGAATATGACACATTATCCATGATTACGTCCCAGAAAAATGCAGTGCAATGTTTTCTGTAAACATTTTTGAGTAATCATTGAATTCTTGATCACTGAATTCTCACCAAACTCTCCAAATTGCTGTGTTTGCTTTGACGTTTAAAGGGGTCATATGATGCGATTAAAATTTTTCCTTTCTCTTTGAAGTGATACAAGCTCTTGGTGCATAAAGAAGATCTGTAAAGTTGCAAAGACTAAAGTCTCAAATCCAAAGAGATATTCTTTATAAAAGTTAAGAGTCAGCCGCACCTACCTAAAACGGCTCGTTCTAACACGCCCCCACATATCTACATCACGATGTGGGAAGATTTGCATTACGCCGCCCAAATGTTCACGGAAAGAAAGAAGGCGTAACTTTTATTCTCGCTGTAGTATTGTTGTTGCCACCACCGCCATGTCGTGAAGACGCTGTGTGTTTCGTTGTGAAAGCGAAACTACTTTGTTTGGTCTTCCAAAAGAGGATGACATCCCCTTCGTCATGACTGGAGCTGATCCGTGCTGGTCACTGAGGAAATACATCAACTTCACGCTGTCGATCGCCAGATCGGCTTTCACCGTGGACGAAGCGGAGTCCAGCCCAGAGTCGTCCCATGTGGTTGGCACAAGCCCGCTGGACGCTCCTTTGTCGAATCCACCGGCTGTGCCGTTCTCAAGCCCGCCCGCCACCGCTCACTCAAGCCGGCCTCCGCATACATTAGGCCGCGGCTCACTCTAGGCCTCCGGCCTGCGCTCACTCAAGGCCGCGGTGTGTGACGCTGTTTCGTTGTGAAAGCGAAACTACTTTGTTCGGCCTTCCAAAAGAGGACACGACTAGAAATCAGTGGTTAAGTTGTATTTACAACACTGTTCCAGAACAGTTCAACCCAGGGGTGCCCAAACTCGATCCTGGAGGGCCGATGTCCAGCAGAGTTTAGCTCCAACCTGCCTCAACACACCTGCCTTCAAGTTTCTAGTATGCCTAGTAAGAGCTTGATTAGCTGGTTCAGGTGTGTCTAATTGTGGATGGATCTAAACTCTGCAGGACACTGGCCCTCCAGGACCGAGTTTGGGCACCCCTGGTTTAACCCAAATATTCAGATGTGTCCAGTGCATTTTATGGAGGACTGTTTCCTGATCCTGGTAGAGTAGACTACAATGCCGGCTGTTCTGACTCAAAGACTGTAAGTACGTTTTTTATATTTAAAGAATTTGCCACTGACGATTCAAACGCGAGTTTTTTGAGCAGTGTAGAGTAGGGCTTGTTGTTTGTCATTTCTCCGATCACAAATGCAGACATGGTTTTATGTTTACGCGGCGCGATGCAACGCAACGCGTAAAAAGACAGTATAAATCATTATAATCCGTAATTATGTCCCCACTGGATGCAACAAATGCCTCGTTTATAATGGGTTTTAATGTTTTTGTCTTGTCGCTCCGGCCTGACAGGGCATCATCACAGTGTGGTGAGGGGCGTAACATTTCCGTCACACGCTTGAAGTATTTGGCCAATCACAACGCACTGGATAGCTGGCCAATCAGAGCACACCTGGCTTTTCAGACCGATGAGCTTTGTAAAAATCGATGCGTTTCAGAAAGGCGGGGCATAGAGGAGAAACAATAATGTACAGAATGTGGAAAATAATGTGTTTTTGGAACCTTAATCTGCATAAACACATTTCATTACACCAAATACAATAGTTTCCATTTTCCACCACAGATGATTTGCATTTTACATAAAGACTCATTGCCAACAGTCATGCATCAAATCAACTTCTGATTTCTCTGTTGTAAATCTCTACCAGTTTGAACACCCCAAAGGATCAGATCAGCTCATATTGTGGTAGTTTGCTCAGTTGTAGTTTACTAATTTATGTTTTTTTCCATAACAGGTAAGAGGATCAGATGCATCTGGACACTTCGAGGGAGCGGATGGGCCTGAGAGTGACATCATTCAGGTGCAGATCAACGATGAACATCAAGACCCCGAGAAGACCTCTGGTGTTGAGGAGGAAGACAGAGAAGCTGTTGTCATGTTAGACGACCACGAACCGCTGGACACAGGTATAGAGGAGCCCAATATGGAGGGGCGAGCTAAAGGCAACGGCCTCAGAGGGGCAGGCCGCATGTGGAGACGACGGCACGGAGAGCACAGGGGAGGCAGAGGAAGAGGCTTAAAACACAGGAAGCGATACATATTCAAGGACTGCAAGTTCTTGGGTAACTATCAGGATTATCAGGAGCACCTTCCGACGCCAGATGAGACCATAAGTAGTTTTGGAGCCGATTTCAAGTCCAGTCGGCATTTCACAGATGGTTCTGTCTTAGTTGAGTACAGGCCTGGAGAGGGACAAGGAGAAGAGATCGGCTCTGATGGAGGTCCTGCACACTTCGGTGTGGAAGCTTCCAGTGGGGAAGAGGGAATGGGAGTTGGGACACATACAAATGAGCATGGAACTGCTGACGAGTCCGTGGCAGTGGTTGGATCCACGTCCAGCGTAACGGGACCAGTGGTGTGTGAGCAGTGTGGACTAGCACTTTGCTCAACGCAGGACTTAGCCATGCATTCCCTGGTGTCACATCAACTGTACATGTGTCCATGCTGCGGGAAGCACTTCAGCCACTTTAATATCCTCAACCGCCACATGATCGTCCACCGTGGAGTTTCCAAGCTTCACTGTTGCCCCCTGTGCCACAAGACCTTCACTCAAAAGTCAACACTGTACGACCACATGAATGTGCACAGTGGGGAGCGGCCGTATGTATGTGCATACTGCCATGTCAGCTTTGCCCATAAGTCTGCTCTGCGCCGCCACCTGATGGAGCAACACGGAAAGACCATGCCCCAAAACCACATGGAGATGCAGCGAAACAATGAGGGTGGTGTTAGCCTAGGGTTTTAGATCATATTTAAATAGGTAAAGTGGGTGTTATAATGAAAAGGAAAATTTACCCTATTTTATTTTCTTAATACTCTTTTATATTTTTATTTTGCACAGCCATATAAATGTCTTTGAAATCGATATGTAATAACTATGCATTTGAGCTCTATAGCCTTGAGAGAATGAATGACCTTTTTATTCAGTTATTTATGGATAGTTTGCCCAAAAATGAAAATTCTGTCATGATTTATTTACCCTGTTGTTTCAAACCTGTGACTTTCTCAACTGACTTTCTTCTGTGAAACACAAAATAATATATTTAACTCTTATTGTCCATACAATTAAAATCAATGAGGTCCAAACAATAGTGACTCCACTATTACATATACAGGTAGCTGTTGGGCATTGCTGCATGCTGCGTTTCCGTCAGTGCCTTCGGTCCAGCTGCGGTCTTTCATAGATATTTTGTCCCCCAGGACATCTTTTGGTGGTGGGACAATGGTCAGGAACATCACCTACCCCCGCAGGTGGACACAGGATCCTTTTTATTGTCTCTTACCTTCACATACAGATATTCTTCCTTTACAGTTCAATGACCTTTCTTCCAAAACACAATCATTCTCTCCCCATACTACCTTATTCTTGCTTTTCTCACTCCATTTTTGATCCCTCATTCTTAACCATAGCTAAAAACATCCATTAATCCTTGACGCCCAACCTCCAGAGGGTAAATGGCAGTCAGTCCTCCATCCATTTTCCTTACACTCAGCAGCCAGAGCAGTGTTTATTAACTTCTCCCTCTAATGGGCTGTTTCCGTCCACTCATCCCATGGTATGATAAACTCAAACATGATTAGGTTCCTAGCTGCTTTTTACCAAAACACTATGTCCACCGATAAGGTGGTGGTGGCGGCGGCAGTCTCGGATGGAAATTTTAGCCGCTGGCCAAAGTCGACCACCACTGCCCAGTCATTTTCCAGTTGCTAGGATTGATCTAGGTTCCCTCTGGGCAAGACTTGGCAAAGCCTCCCATTTTCACAAATTCTGTGAACTGCCTTTGTGGGGCAGGGGGGCTTTTGTTTGCCTTTATATGCACCTTAAGGATGTCTGCCAACACATAACCTGATTAAGTCACCATCTACACCAATGCGCCAATGCGATCTTGCTGCCAGTCAGCATGTGCTGACAGTTCTCCTCTGTGCTAAACCACCAAGACACATTACTTGGACTTGATAAGGTGTCATAGGCAGACCTTATTAAAAAACTTAACCTAGCCTAGGGCTCCTATCACATGTCCTCCCAGCTCTGTCAGATGTAACCTCCAACATGCTTGCTGCTTCTGGTTTAGCGCTCTAATCAAGATACCCTTCTTCTTCCATCGTAGTTACTTCAGTCACCACTCTCTAGTCTCTCTCTATGCTTTGAGTTGGCTGCTCTACCAGCACTGGGATTCTTTCCCCCTTCACAATGAAAAATATCTGGGTCTTCAGGATCACTTGAAAAATCACAGGCCAGGTGAGCTAAAGCAGGTTGGAAATAAACTGACAGTGTGTCCCCAGAGGCTCGCTTCAGAGTGTTAACCCTGAAATGAGGGAAATTCTGGGTCTTCCGTTTCAGAATGGGAGGTATGTCAAACCCGAGAAAGCAGGGTAAGTCAAGCCCGTTTCTGAAACTCCGAGTCAGTTACCATGGTAACTTACTCTGTGACCCAAACCTGGTCGGCTGCAGGTTTTCTTCGTTAAACCCAGAGTTTCTTTCGGTTCCTTTTTTGTTTAAATACCTCATTCATTCATTCATGCTGCAAAAATGCTTTTCTTACTGATTATTTTGGAATGTAAATTAAGTGCATTACTTAAAACAAGAAAAATAATCTTAATGCAAATGGTAAAAAGATTATTTTTCTTACCCCATTGGCAGATCATTTGCAAAATAAGAAAAATGCACTTAAAAGACTAAATACGCATGTCATTTTTCTTATGTAGAAAATGCATCTTGATTTAAGAATCTTTAGATATTTTGACTGGAAACAAGACAAAAATACTAAGAAAAGCATTTTTTTTTTCAGTGCTGGTATTCATTGCACATATTTTCATCATGTGAAAGAAACAAAAACGGCATGTCCTTTTATACAGGAGTTATTATTTTTCCTGTTGGATTTTAATATTCTTCCAATATTCAAATACTTGGTATTGTGGCCATCTCCTCTTCATCTGTGCTGCATTTATTCTGTTTACTTATTTTGTTTATTCAAATGTTTATTTCACTACTCTAATTAAGTAATGCAACAGTTTGAATTAGAGAACATTTAATTGTGTGAACATTTAATTATGCATGTTATAAAGAGCATTAGACTGTGGAAAAAGCTGCTTCACATTGAAATCGACACTAATAGATACTTATTTAATGTCAAATGTTTGTAAAGTCATGTAGCCTACACCCATGAACCTTTTATGCTTAAAACTTTACCTGATTTAAAAAAAAAAAAATTCTGCTCCCATATCATCAAAGCATGTTCCACACACCCAGGAAATCCTGGGACGGCCTTCTGGCAGCTTGTGTCTATATACCCACCTCCTCCAGACATCCTAACCAGACATTCTCCTTGCTGTCACCGAAATGAAAATCTTCTCCTAAAAAATCAATATTTAAAATTGAGTGATGCTAGTGGATTCCTGTTCCTTAGATACAAAGCAACCACCCTCCATAGGTCACAACTCCTTTTTTTCTTCCAGTATGTCTGGCAAACTAAACAACTCCCTCTTGGTCTCCTTCCTTTTCTCCGCTCTTGGCATTCTCACTGGTCTCCTCACTGCTGCTAACATACCCCTTATTCCCATATCACCTTCAGACTCTTCTCCTCTTGCTCGTCTGCTTGCAAGCTTCGTCTTGCACCAGCTGGAGTATCTCTTATACCCAGAACTTTCGGGGAAACTCTTCCTAGCTACTGTTTTAACGAATCTACCACACATTCTTTATAAACAGCTTGACTAAACATGTTAAGCTTGGTTTCCAACCTTCCACGAAGTATGTTGGTTAGGTTACACAAATCCTGATCTAGCCACTGACTTACACTGTATGGACAAAAAAGACACTGATACACTTGGGCAGCTTTTTGTAGTCACAGCTTTTACGTACTTGAATGAGCAAATGGGAAAGAGCAAAATCTCCTAAATCAGCCTAAAAACACTATTTACTAGTATTTTACACTATTATTACTTGTCAGATTAATGCTTATGCCCCTTGTCCATATAAGACACATATCAGACAGTGCATGTACCCATTGGCTCTTGTAAATGAAAGCTTAATGCTGAAATATTGAGTGTTGCAGTTTCTCACATTTGTTACAAAAAACATTTTGTTTTGATATTTTTCCCCATAGTCATTCATATTCATATGAGTAATGTTGTATATCTCACTGGAGAAAAAAAGAGGAAAATTCTAAAACTATTATGTGTTTCCCAATAAATCTGATATAATGTTACTCTTTTTAGTATGCAGAGTTTATATAACAGTGCATGTCTCTGCATTTGTGTTCTCAGTGTTCTGTTTCCCTTTAGGCAAAAAGAGCACTGGAAGGTCTGAACTAGAGCTCATTTCATCAATACCATCTCATGTTGTGGATTGTAGCGGGGTAAACTTGTTTCACACAGCTGAGGTCTGCAGTAAATCAGTTATTATTCATACTCCAATACAAAATACATCTATACAAAGCTCAGATTTGCTTGATATCACCTCTAAAAACTCAAAAACTGGCTTACAGTTTCTGCCTGTCAAACTCTGAAGATGTTTCACTGAGGTAATGTTTTTTTAGTTTGCCCATATTATGAAGTCAACCCAGGCATGCTGATGGAAAAGTGTATTGATTATTTACTGAAATCCATGACTGAGCTAAATGTCCAGATACACTGAGTGGTAAAAATACTCAAATGCTGTGCTAATTAAAATGACAGAAAAGTAACAGTTTCACTTCATCGCTTCTTTAAAAAAAACTACATTTTTGCTGTATGTAGACAAAATCTAATGCTGGATTATTTTATAAGTTTAACATATGCTAAATAACTGTTTTCAAAGGAAGTCCTCACTGTAGACGACCTGGCTCCGTTTGTCTCTGTACGAACCCTTGGCACTGTTCTGCACAGCTGTGAAAGATAAGACACAGAAATAGAAATGGGTTAGTCAAGTGTGCAACACTCACAGTTGTTTTCCTGTGAAATGTCTTTATTTACCAAGAGAAGCCCAGACAGATTTCCCTGTGGCAGCATCGAGCATGGGCTGCTTTCTGGCAATGCTGACTTTGATGTTGACGTCACCAACAGTAGCACCATTCAGCTGAGACACAGAAAGAGAAGAAAAACGGGTTTCTTTCAGTAAATAAATAAAAGGGGTCCTATCACAGAAAACAAGATTTTCAAGATGAGCCTGAATATACACAATATAAAAACTCTACAATCCACACCAGACTATTTAGTCAGCCTATTTTTGTTGCATATTTTTGGATTTATGGATGCTAAGCTGCAAAACATCAGAAATCGACATGATATTGATGTCCCAACCATGAGCTCATTAACACAGGACCACTAGAGCTTGCATGACTGTCCATAAAAGTAGTCGGTGGGTCCCCAGATCACGTGTGTGGTTGGCTTTTAGAGTATCAAAACTATTTATAATAGCTCAAATAAAACAAATACTAAAATTAAAACATACTGAAATAATTAAGTTGAAGTGCTAGAAATACTAAACTGAAATAAAACCCATTAAAAACTAATTAAAATGACAAAAGCACATAACCGGTCTAAATATTAAACTAAAATGAAAACCGAAAATATAAAAAAGTAATTTAAAACATTAATAAATACAATATTAGTATGTATTTCATTCATTTATGTTTTAACAATATATAAACAATGGCTATATTCATGGCAACATTTACAATATCATTTCCATATAGCATTTTCTTATGAAGCAAACACTACACAAAAAACATACAAGTAACAACAATAGTACTGATAAAAATCATATAGAATCTTTCACAATATTGGCGCATGAATAATACTTAACACTCATATACTTTGTGACTGTATATTTTTTGCATAAATCCTGTTACTGTACAAGTTAATATTGCGTAAGCACAACATTTGGAGAGACAAAATATTCTACTGCTATGCCCTTGTATATGACAAGTATAGAATCAAGTATGGATCACCACTAGTCCTTATTCACCACTTACGATTATATATGCATGCCTGACAAATTACATAATTACATGTAAAGTGAAGCCTGTCAAAACTGAGGTCATTTATATATGCAATTCTTAAAGGCACAGCAGCAAAAACAACCTGTTGAATTGAGGGCCAGAGAGGAAGTATAAAGTATAAAAAATATTATGATACAAAAGTGTATAAAGTGAATGTACTACTGACCTCTACCACAGCCTGGTCTGCTGATTCAATCTTCTCATAGGTGACAAAGGCACAACTAGTAAGAAACAGAAGGCAAAAATGGGTTAAATAATTGTTTTTTTTCTCAGACATTTCTCAGTTCAACAAAGATTTAAAAAATACTTTTATTTAGCAAGGAAGCATTAAATTGATCAAAAGTGACAGTAAAGACATTTATAATGTTACAAGAGATTTATATTTTGAAAAAATATATCACAGTACAACTGTTATCAACATGAAATGTTTCTTGAGCATAAAATCCTTCATCAGAACTTCATCAGAATTCGTCTTACTGGCGTGGTGAGTCCATTGAAAGGTCGATGATGTTGCCATGCTGTGTGAAGGCCGAGCGCAAACTGTCTTCCACTAAACCTGTGCCGTATACATACACAGTGTTTCCTTTGCGCACACCTCTGCGCTCTGGATACGAGTCTGACCCTGAACAACAATAGAGACGTTTAGTAGACGTTCAGAATTTCAACAGAACAAAGCTTATTATGATTAACTATTAGAAAAAGCATATGCATGAAATATTCTGTTCTTAAAGGGGTCATATGATGCTACATGCACTTTTACAAGTTGTTTGAACTGAAATGTGTGTTAGCAGTGTGTGTACACAACCACCTTATAATGATAAAAATCCATCCAGTGGTTTTAAAAAAAAAAATCTGGTTAAATGTTTTCCCCTTTCTCAAATCGAGCCGATCTCAGATGCCTGTCTGTGTGACGTCACAAAAACAGGCCCCTCCCACTATAGTTTGATTGACAGTAGTGTTTCAGTACAGACTGGACTTGTGTCTTACCTTAGACCCGCCCTGAGTGAGCTGTCATCAGTCCGCCATTGTTTCACCGCCGGAGCAGATGTAGACAAGAATGACTCCTAAGCAATTGAGGTGTTCTGTTGTTGGATGTAATAATGAACATAGCAGTCGTCATTTACTCCCGACATCTGAGCCGCTGAACTGGCAGTGGATTACATTGTTTCTGAAGGGAATGCGCCCTCAATCTACATAAATGCGTCTATGTTCGTGCAAATCATTCATGATCCAGCCTCATCTACAGAAGAAGAGTGTATAATGTTTTGTAATGAATCTTTGCAAATCGCCTTTGCTAATAATGTGCTAATTAGCAAGTTTCGCGATGAATGCGGCTAAATTAAACAGCCTCTCAGAGAGCAGCTCGGAAGAGAGGGGCGGGGTCAGCAGAGCTCATTAACATTTAAAGGAAAATGCTACAAAAACGGCTTGATCTGAAAAGAGCTGTTTTTTACACTACCATTGAGAAATTTTAACCAAACTATTTTAGTGACTTTTCATTAATACCCTAAAGAATCATATCAACTTGTGGAAAATGGGCATCCGTTGACCCCTTTAACAAACACTGTAATGACACAATATGGACACTGAATGGAAGTGATTTATTTTTGCACAGATTCACTTACGTCTGTAGGGTCCGTCCCGCTCTTGGTCTCTTTCTCTGTCTCGATCTCTGTCCCTTTCACTATCCCGGCTCCTGTCACGTTCATGTTCACGCTCTCGGTCTCGTTCTCTCTCCTTGTCTCTTTCTCGATCTCTCTCCCAGTCCATCTCTCTTTCCCGATCGCGCTCAGAATCTCGACTCGACATTCCTCCCTCATCGTCACGAGATTGATCTCCAGGAACAAAACTATAGGACAGAAAGAACAGCCTTAATGTTTCCTGCAATACTTTTTCTATGAAGGTATTAGATTACAAGTATTATTCTGAGTCTGACAGTCTCACCTCTCATACAGGGATTTCCTGTGGATTCGTTTAGCAGACTACAGCAAGAAGAAACAACATGGTGTAAAGTCAAGTCTACTGACACTATTTAATATACTTAACAGATTTAGCTATTTACATATATTCATGCATACATACAATCACACTTTTGACACAACCGATCAAAAGTTGTTTTTTTTATGTTTTGAAAGAAGTTTCTTATGCTCACCAAGGCTGCAAATTACAATAAAAATAGTAATATTGTGAACAATGTGTTATTGTGTTATAATGTTAAAAAAAAAAATCAGCATATTATACTGATTTCTGAAGGATCATGTGACACTGAAGACTGGAGTAATGATGTTGAAAATTCAGCTTTACATCACAGGAATAAATTACATTTTAAAATATTTTCAAATAGAAAGCAGTTATTTTAAGTTATAATAATATTTCAAAATATTACTGGTTTACTGTATTTTTGATCAAATAAATGCAGCCTTGACTGGATCATTTGTACAGTGTAAAACCGCATTACATCAGGAGGCTCCTCATCTGTAGAGACGCTCCTTTGAAATGGCAGGAATGCTGGGGCAGAACCTTTCTCAGGATCCTGAGAAACAAAGAAAACCTTTGTATTTGTAGCTTTGTACAAAAAATCAAATACATTTTATGTTGACTCGCCATTAATGGGGTGCAAAACATCTCTTACTTTAAGTTTACCCTCAAGTGTTCTGGAGCGCTTGAAGCCTGAGTTCTTGTTCTCTGATTTGATGGCGCTGATCGCTCCAGACTTGATCAGCATTTTGGCCTGCTCCGTTGCGGTCGCTGTGTCCACCACCGGCTGATCTGACAGAGCTTAACAGAGGCAATCAGAGAGATCATTCATAGATCACAGATTTCATGCAAACTTATTTCAGGAGCATCTGGAAAGTTTAGTGATCCATAAATTGACTTACTGCGCTTCAGTCCTATCTGACCTGTCTGATTGGTGGAGCTCTGTTTCTTCAGAGCCATTAGGGCCTTTTTCTACATGACAGAAGTGAAGGTAGACAATACTGTATGTCAAAACAATATATATATACACATATGTGTGTATTTTTGCCTTTGGCGTCTCAACACCCCACTCCTGGTATCAAGTTTGGGCCTAATGGTTAGAGAGTCGGACTCATAACCCAAAGGTTGTGGGTTCGAGTCTCGTACTGGCAGGGATTGTAGGTGGGGGGAGTGAATGTACAGCGCTCTCTCCCACCTTCAATACTACGACTGAGGTGCCCTTGAGCAAGGCACCGAACCTCCAACTGTTCCCCGGGTGCCACAGCAACAAATGGCTGCCCACTGCTTCGGGTGTGTGTTCACGGTGTGTGTGTGTGTTCACTGCTGTGTGTGTGTTCACGGGGGGTGTGTGTTCACTGCTGTGTGTGTGTTCACGGGGGGTGTGTGTTCACTGCTGTGTGTGTGTTCACGGGGGGTGTGTGTTCACTGCTGTGTGTGTGTTCACGGGGGGTGTGTGTTCACTGCTGTGTGTGTGTTCACGGGGGGTGTGTGTTCACTGCTGTGTGTGTGTTCACGGGGGGTGTGTGTTCACTGCTGTGTGTGTGTTCACGGGGGGTGTGTGTTCACTGCTGTGTGTGTGTTCACGGGGGGTGTGTGTTCACTGCTGTGTGTGTGTTCACGGGGGGTGTGTGTTCACTGCTGTGTGTGTGTTCACGGGGGGTGTGTGTTCACTGCTGTGTGTGTGTTCACGGGGGGTGTGTGTTCACTGCTGTGTGTGTGTTCACGGGGGGTGTGTGTTCACTGCTGTGTGTGTGTTCACGGGGGGTGTGTGTTCACTGCTGTGTGTGTGTTCACGGGGGGTGTGTGTTCACTGCTGTGTGTGTGTTCACGGGGGGTGTGTGTTCACTGCTGTGTGTGTGTTCACGGGGGGTGTGTGTTCACTGCTGTGTGTGTGTTCACGGGGGGTGTGTGTTCACTGCTGTGTGTGTGTTCACGGGGGGTGTGTGTTCACTGCTGTGTGTGTGTTCACGGGGGGTGTGTGTTCACTGCTGTGTGTGTGTTCACGGGGGGTGTGTGTTCACTGCTGTGTGTGTGTTCACGGGGGGTGTGTGTTCACTGCTGTGTGTGTGTTCACGGGGGGTGTGTGTTCACTGCTGTGTGTGTGTTCACGGGGGGTGTGTGTTCACTGCTGTGTGTGTGTTCACGGGGGGTGTGTGTTCACTGCTGTGTGTGTGTTCACGGGGGGTGTGTGTTCACTGCTGTGTGTGTGTTCACGGGGGGTGTGTGTTCACTGCTGTGTGTGTGTTCACGGGGGGTGTGTGTTCACTGCTGTGTGTGTGTTCACGGGGGGTGTGTGTTCACTGCTGTGTGTGTGTTCACGGGGGGTGTGTGTTCACTGCTGTGTGTGTGTTCACGGGGGGTGTGTGTTCACTGCTGTGTGTGTGTTCACGGGGGGTGTGTGTTCACTGCTGTGTGTGTGTTCACGGGGGGTGTGTGTTCACTGCTGTGTGTGTGTTCACGGGGGGTGTGTGTTCACTGCTGTGTGTGTGTTCACGGGGGGTGTGTGTTCACTGCTGTGTGTGTGTTCACGGGGGGTGTGTGTTCACTGCTGTGTGTGTGTTCACGGGGGGTGTGTGTTCACTGCTGTGTGTGTGTTCACGGGGGGTGTGTGTTCACTGCTGTGTGTGTGTTCACGGGGGGTGTGTGTTCACTGCTGTGTGTGTGTTCACGGGGGGTGTGTGTTCACTGCTGTGTGTGTGTTCACGGGGGGTGTGTGTTCACTGCTGTGTGTGTGTTCACGGGGGGTGTGTGTTCACTGCTGTGTGTGTGTTCACGGGGGGTGTGTGTTCACTGCTGTGTGTGTGTTCACGGGGGGTGTGTGTTCACTGCTGTGTGTGTGTTCACGGGGGGTGTGTGTTCACTGCTGTGTGTGTGTTCACGGGGGGTGTGTGTTCACTGCTGTGTGTGTGTTCACGGGGGGTGTGTGTTCACTGCTGTGTGTGTGTTCACGGGGGGTGTGTGTTCACTGCTGTGTGTGTGTTCACGGGGGGTGTGTGTTCACTGCTGTGTGTGTGTTCACGGGGGGTGTGTGTTCACTGCTGTGTGTGTGTTCACGGGGGGTGTGTGTTCACTGCTGTGTGTGTGTTCACGGGGGGTGTGTGTTCACTGCTGTGTGTGTGTTCACGGGGGGTGTGTGTTCACTGCTGTGTGTGTGTTCACGGGGGGTGTGTGTTCACTGCTGTGTGTGTGTTCACGGGGGGTGTGTGTTCACTGCTGTGTGTGTGTTCACGGGGGGTGTGTGTTCACTGCTGTGTGTGTGTTCACGGGGGGTGTGTGTTCACTGCTGTGTGTGTGTTCACGGGGGGTGTGTGTTCACTGCTGTGTGTGTGTTCACGGGGGGTGTGTGTTCACTGCTGTGTGTGTGTTCACGGGGGGTGTGTGTTCACTGCTGTGTGTGTGTTCACGGGGGGTGTGTGTTCACTGCTGTGTGTGTGTTCACGGGGGGTGTGTGTTCACTGCTGTGTGTGTGTTCACGGGGGGTGTGTGTTCACTGCTGTGTGTGTGTTCACGGGGGGTGTGTGTTCACTGCTGTGTGTGTGTTCACGGGGGGTGTGTGTTCACTGCTGTGTGTGTGTTCACGGGGGGTGTGTGTTCACTGCTGTGTGTGTGTTCACGGGGGGTGTGTGTTCACTGCTGTGTGTGTGTTCACGGGGGGTGTGTGTTCACTGCTGTGTGTGTGTTCACGGGGGGTGTGTGTTCACTGCTGTGTGTGTGTTCACGGGGGGTGTGTGTTCACTGCTGTGTGTGTGTTCACGGGGGGTGTGTGTTCACTGCTGTGTGTGTGTTCACGGGGGGTGTGTGTTCACTGCTGTGTGTGTGTTCACGGGGGGTGTGTGTTCACTGCTGTGTGTGTGTTCACGGGGGGTGTGTGTTCACTGCTGTGTGTGTGTTCACGGGGGGTGTGTGTTCACTGCTGTGTGTGTGTTCACGGGGGGTGTGTGTTCACTGCTGTGTGTGTGTTCACGGGGGGTGTGTGTTCACTGCTGTGTGTGTGTTCACGGGGGGTGTGTGTTCACTGCTGTGTGTGTGTTCACGGGGGGTGTGTGTTCACTGCTGTGTGTGTGTTCACGGGGGGTGTGTGTTCACTGCTGTGTGTGTGTTCACGGGGGGTGTGTGTTCACTGCTGTGTGTGTGTTCACGGGGGGTGTGTGTTCACTGCTGTGTGTGTGTTCACGGGGGGTGTGTGTTCACTGCTGTGTGTGTGTTCACGGGGGGTGTGTGTTCACTGCTGTGTGTGTGTTCACTGCTGTGGGTGTGTTCACGGTGTGTGTGTGTTCACGGTGTGTGTATGTTCACTGCTGTGTGTGTGCACTTTGGATGGGTTAAATGCAGAGCACTAATTCCTAGTATGGGTCACCTGGCCACGTCACGTCACTTCACTTCACTTCAAGTTTGGGCTTAAAATACAATATACACTGGGTATAGAAAAGAATCAGTTGCACTGAGTAAATACAGCTGGATAAAACATTAAACGGTGTCCGTCTTAACCTCAGGTTACAAAGCAACAGTCAGCATGACTGAATCAACATTGAACTGATTTGATTTGAGCTGAATAATGAGATGTCTTCTGTAGAGTTGGTTTACAGCTCAAACTTAATAATGTATACATATTGGAACATGAATATTAATTTGCTGTTTATTATTATTTTATCTGTATTGTATAAAGCGTGTACATTTATTGTACAGATGTAAATATGACTTGACCTTTTTTGATACTATTATTTTGTGAATGTGCTTTTCTCGGTTCCAAAATGTAGCCTTAGAAAACACCGTGACTACATTTTTCACCTTTTTCTTTAATTTAGCATATTTCTTCTGCAGTGCTTCCTCCTCCTCTGTCAGTGAACTGGGAAATATTGCCATTTTGGCTGATCTTCAGGAAGAAGAAAAAACAGCAATATGTTTGAACAGATGTCTTATATATTTTCCAATCAATGCATCACCATATTAACCATATCTTTAAAAAAAACTGCATAAAAGACGGTGCTTTATATTAAATTACCTTAAACTCAGAAAGTGAGAATAGGCGTCTGCAGTCCTTCCTCGCTCGGCGCACAATTGTGACCTCATCTGTTGTGATCCGCGGAAGCAGCTCAAACTAAATAGTTTGCCCACAGTTATTCTTTGTTGTTTTACGGTGTATTTAAAGTACATTAAAACGTAAATCTATTTTAGGTCACACACACAGACCACTACGTTGTATAGTAGTAAACAAAAGTACTAAACACCTTCCGTCCCTTTAGTTCTGCGCAGCTTCCTGCAGGAGTGAAACTTTACTGAGACATTAAAACGTAAATCTATTTTAGGTCACACACACAGACCACTACGTTGTATAGTAGTAAACAAAAGTACTAATAAACACCTTCCGTCCCTTTAGTTCTGCGCAGCTTCCTGCAGGAGTGAAACTTTACTGATACTGGAGAACTGCAGAGTGACATGGACAAAACAGGTATGAATTATTTGCACTGTGTAATTCTGCGTGCTTACCTGGTGCGGTATAATAATATCATCAGCAGCCAGTTGAGGATTTAGCTGCTTTGTGTCGTAAATCGCTGCTATGACAGCCAGCTCAGCTACATCTACTTCTACATCTGCCATGAATGATCCAGCGGGTTTCATGGGCTTTCTGGCCTGTAGTTGCAGTGGTACTGATGAACTGCTGTTTTCTTCTGCGTGTAGATTTGCCCCCAGTGGGTCCTGATGATTTGCCCCTGTCTCTGCTGGAGATGGGCTGCTCGGGGAGACTTGAGCTCATCACACACCCACTGCCCCAAAACAGACCCCTGCCTCCACACAGCACAGTTAGTCGTTTAATAATACTAAAACAATCATGGTATTCATTTGTGTATGCTAATTTTGTGTTTATATTCTTTCTCTTTTTCAGCTTCCCCATGGGCTCCCTCCTACTTGTCTAGATCTAAAAACAGAGGTAGAAAAGCGTTTTCTGCGAGACCCTGCTTGGCTCCCGGTACACGGTGTAGATGATGCCTTCCACAAGTTCCTTAAGTATGAAATGAGACACATTCAGAAGATAGTGATTGTCTTTGCGATAGATAGGCCTATCCTATCTTTACTCAGTTTTGTCAATTACAAATTTGTCCTTTAGGATAAGTAAGCGGAACAAAGAGGTGGACTCTCTCCTGCACTGCTCACTGTCTCCACTGCACTCCGGTCTGTCTGTGATCAGAGATCCCACCACCGGTATGCTGCTGGATTTCACTGAGGTAACGCTGGAAAACATTTACTGCGTTCTGTTTGCCGATCTTAAAGTTCGTATTCCATTTTAATCAAAGCTATTAAAATAATTTTCGTTAAAGGGGTCATATGATGCTTTTTTTAAAGATCATTATTCTGTGTATTTGGTGTAACAGAATGTGTTGACATGCTTTAATGTTCAAAAAACACATTATTTTTCAAATACTGTACATTATTGTAGGTCCTCTATGCACCGACTCTCTCAAACGCTTCGTTTTCTACAAAGTCCCTCCTTCCGACAAGCGCAGTCTGCTCTGATTGGCCAGCTGACCCAGTGCATTGTGATTGGTCGAACACCGCAAGCACTCGTCGGAAATGTAACGCCCCTTACCATAATCGCGAGCGTCATCTTTCAAAATAAATGTAAAGACAGAGCCGGAAAGGGGAACAGAGTCGCGTGACAGACACAGTGATGAAGCTGGTATGTGTTTGCAGTACACAAGCCACGGTTAAGACAGCTGACTCCACTGTGAT